GCCTTCTACTCTCGTGCGATATGTCGAGGCACGCAAGGCGACAGGGAGAGCAGTGGCGAAAGCCGAAGCTAATTCCTTGGAGAAGTTCGGTGAGGTGCTGGAGTTTCCTCACGGCAAACAAAGTATTCTGGCAGACCATCCGCCGGCTCCGAGGCGAAAAGATGGGCAGTCTCAGAGTCTTGAAGGACAGATCTGGACACCTTCTTACCAAGGATGATGACATTCTTCAGGGATGGAGGGAGTACTTTGAGGAACTCCTTAACCCCGCGCAACAGCAGGAAGACTCGAGAAGGGTACGGATATTACTGTCTCTGTAGATGAAATTACACAAGCATTGAAAAGCTTGAAAAATGGAAAGGCTCCTGGAATTGAGAAAATCCGCCCTGAGATGCTCAAGGCATTAGGCGAGCAAGGCATTGTGCTGGCTTATATGTGTCTGTCAGGCTGTGTTGACTGCGGGAAACACCCACGGACTGGAAAACGGGAGTTGCGGACTGTAGAACGGGAGTTATTTACCCGTATTCAAGAAGGAAGGTAACAGGAAATGTTCCAGTTATCGGGGCATTACCTTATTGAGCCTCACCTCTGCAGTATATGCAATGGATTTAGAAAGGAATAACTGACTTCAAGGTACAAGGACAGAAGCGTGGCTTGCGGTCTGGCCGAAGCACATCTGATAAGATTTCCGCTCTACGCCAGTTTTAAGAAATCGTGGGCGTGAGAGTTCGCTTTGTGCAATTAGAGAAAGCCTCTGATTGAATCCCGCGCAATGGTCAGGACATGCTTGCGAACATATGCGATCTGTATCTAGTTTCTGCGGGTCTTCAAATCAGTTTATGCTGATAGCCGGTGCTACTTCTGAGTAAATGGCGTTAAGTCGAAGCCTTTTCCAGTATTTCAATATGGTTTCCTTTTTTAAGCCAAGTGTTTGTATTTTACATGGATAGAATAGTTAGGAGCAGCCAAAACAATGAGTGTATTGGTGTAGGAGATGTCGCGACGAGAAGGTTGTTGTTTTCAAATGACCATATTTTGTTGGCTTCTTCTGAAAATGATCTCCAGCGCTCTCGGAAAGGTACATAGAAGAGTGCGACGTGGCTGGCATGCAAGTAGATCTAAAACGAAGTCTCGTGCCCGTTGTGCTCTGCAGACAAGGGGAGAGCAGTGGAACAAGTTAAGAAGTTCAGGTACCTCCGGGTCGTGCTTACTGATGAAAGAAAGCTGGAGGATGAAATCGATAGGCGGATTGGAGTTGCCGGTGGCGTTAATCATGAATTAGCCTGAACAGTTGTGACTAGAGTAGGGCTGAACATGAAGAATATGCCCTAGGCATTCACGCTGATCTTCATCTATGTGCTCACTCACAGTCAGAGGTCGGGGACCATGACTGAAAAACATCGATCCCGGATAGAAGGAACTGAAGTGGTCTTTCTGAGACGAGTCGCTGGCCTTCTTACGCCTGTCGATGTTTTCTGGAATAGAGACATCCGGGAGAGCCTTTGTATACAGCCTCTGCTTCTTCAGATTGAGAACTCACTGCTGCGATGGTTTGGGTAGGTATTGCGAATGCCTCAGGAAAATGAGACTATGCAACTACTAGTTGCCCAGCCGACCGGTAGTTTCA